CCGGAGCCACTGGTTTGGGGATAATTACTTTTAATGTCAGAAAGATTTAGTTTAATATCATCTCTATTAGGCTGCCGGGAGGGTAATTAAACGGGACGCGCCGCAGCCGGCAAACAGATGGCGTCTGCTTGCTCCGAGGCCGCGGACAAACAGCGCAAAAGTCAATGTCTCCCGGGTCCCCCATCAGCGCCCCCAGCCCTGCTTCTAGTCAGCGCCACAGCGCCTCGCCTCCAGCCTCCCCCAGCCCCCTCAACCCCCAACCCTGATTTCAACCCCAGTCTCCACCAGGGTCACCCCTTTGGACCCCACCACTGACTGGTACGGGGTGCGTGGGGGATGGTCCAGTAACGAACATGGGTGGAGGTGGATTTTCGTGGTTGGGTGCACTCACCCGGGAATCCCAGCCTCTGGCACAGCAGAGGCGTCAGCAAATGACCCTGAGCTAAGAGGACATGTGTGTGTGTGTGACTGAGGACGGGCGTTCTGCCCACAGCCGCCTCGTCTGTCCGGGAGGTCTGGCTTTCTCTGCCCAGGGTCTAGCCACCCGCAGAGCCCTGGAGTAGGGTTAGGTCGGTGGAGACGCAAGGGCACAGGTGTCTGTCACCGAGGCAGGAGTTGTGGGCGTCTGGGTGAGAGGTCACAAACCAAGTGGATGTCTCAGGATGAGAACATGCTTATGAGATCGCTGTGAGGCCAGTGGAACTTTCTGAAGGGGTCCTCTCGGGTGGGAGGGCAGCCTCAGAGATGAATGCAACCCATAGATCACAGCATGCAGGTGAGAGGGTGTGTCCAAGACTGCAGAATAAGGTTACACGTGCAGGTTGTGTGTCCAGGTGTGAAGCCACACTCTGCTGTGTGTAGGGGGGTAACCCCTGCTGCCTCGATACAGGCATGCTCTCCCCCAACGCCCCTGCTCAGCAGGATCACCCCCTTCCCGTCTGGTCCCCTCCTCAACCTCAGTCCAAATCAAGACGAGCCCCCAGTGGCCTGTGGAGGTGTGAGTGCAAGTAATCTCGATCCCGGTCGGTTACTCTGCCTCCCTCCCTGACACACGCATCACATGAGCACCTCAACCTCAGGACACCCAAAGAAAGGTTGTGGGTCCCGAACCTGTTGGACTGTGAACACGAAGGAAGAAGAGCAAGAGAAGAGAGAGGCAGCAGCTGTAGGGGTGGGCAGATTCCCTCTGGCTGAGCTGGGTTCCAGGATATGTCCTCTCCTCCTTCTAAGGAATTGAGGTTCCTTACATACTAGCCGGAGAGCTCGGGGTCCCCAAGTCTGGACCCTTGGCTCCCGCAGGTTCACTCGGACCAGAGTGGAGGAATCTCACAGTGGCTTAGTATCAAGCGCGAAGAGGTGTGTACAGGCAACCGCCACCGGAAAAGCGAGGCTGATTTCTATAGTTTATTTCGCTTGGAGTTTAAAATCATTTCTGGAAAACTTAGTCCACGGTAGCTCTAGAAGGAGGTGTCTGGCTGCTGCCGCGCACGGTCTGGCTGCGGTCCTCTCTCCTCACCCACCTCGCTGCCAGGGTGCATTGGAAGCATAGATTTCCTTAACCTCATAATCTCAAGGCGCTGGACGGTGGAGTTTGGGTCCTAGGCTCCTGAAGGACTCACTCCCTTACCCTCAGTCCACGCGGGAGACCCTATGAGAGCTGACCCCTTCCCCATTCCCAAACACATTCTCAGGCTGGAATTTGCCAGGAGCGAATGGCCTGGTTTCTATCGCTGTTACAGTCTCTGTCCGGGTCAGAGCGCGCCTGGTCAACTTTCTGGAAGCTCTCCGCGCGTCTCTAGCGCACGCCACCCTCTCCCCCTCCCCCATATCACCAACCTGGTTCTCCGGTTTGGCCTCCCCGAAGAACCCACGCGAGGTTCCGCGATCTGCTGTGAGGCCCCGCTCGCCACGCCTTCCACCCTGATCCCCAGCCCCAGGCGTCAGAGGCAGCTGGGTTGGCAGGGCACGACCCATTAGTCGTGCCAGGTGGCAGGAGCTGCTTCCAGAGGCTCCTGGGCCGAGTCTGCACGCCCAGTACGTCCTCGCCCCAGACAGCTCCAGTTAGAACCCCCTAGTCCTGGAAGCTCGAAAGAACAACGCGGACACGTATGGTTTGAATAAGTGGAGGGAGACCGACAGGAAAACGCATTTTTTTTTCTTGTTAGTTAAACGAATTTTCTTTACTCTAAACGAGAGAGAGAAAAGTAGACAATAAAAATGAGAGTGAGGACATTAGAAGACAGAAAGAAAAGGCACAGAGAATCACAGCTAGACAAACTCTAGGCGATCTCGCCCGAGGACCGCGGCATTAATTCCAGATGTTGCCATTAAAAAGGGAATTAAAATCCGAAACCTGTTACCTCCTCTGCAGACCGAGCTGTATCTCAGGATCGTGACGTCAGGACGCGAGAATAAGGCGAAAGTTAAAACTACTCCTGGGGGCCGCGGTGACCTTGTCTCCGGCCCCAAGGACCGACGGACGAGTGCGCGACCCGCATCCAGAAGGATCTGGGGAGACAGGAAGGCCACTTTTTACTTTCGTTTAAAAAAATTAAAGCGTTCGTTAATTAAAAACAACGATGATAAAACGAATCCCACCACCATGGAAAAGAAATCAACACGCTGCAGAAGTGAGGAAAGGAAAGAGTAAGAAGGGGCAAAGGGACGGGGTTAGGGAGGGGCTGAGAGGGGAAAGGCTCAAAGCGCATGGGACGCGGAGGGCGCCCACAGGAAGCGCAATCTCATTTCTCCTCTCCAGGCTCCACTTTAAAAACGAAAATCCTTATAAAACACGCTTACCCTCTGAGACACCTATCGTATCAGGACTTTTAAAATAAAGGACCAGCGTTTTAAAGGTGACAGGGGAAAAACCAAAACAACAGCCTCAACTACCCCAAATGCATCCGACTTGGGAGCACGCTGAAACAGAGCCGGAAGGAGGCAGGAAAAATCGTCTTGGCATTTATGCCATATGCACCCTCCCTTCTCCACCCGCTTTCCACCCCCACCCTGGCCGCGGTAATTGAATTGTCACCTGCCCCCGTCTCGTCCCCGGCCGCCAGGGCCACTTGGGAAAGTTGGCCTTGCCAAGCGCCCCCGGCCAGTGCGAGCCGCGCGCCGAGCCCGCGCCCCAGAAGCCGAGGGGTTACACACGTCAACGTAGAGGCGCACCGGACACAGTAATTAGGCACAATTCACACGCTCTCGGGCGCACGGAAACTACTTGTCACGATATTTTCAACGCTCCTCCTTGCACACTTTTTTCCACTCCTTCCCTGGCGCGCCCCCTCCCCTCCCCAAAGCAATCAATGGAGCTTCAGGAGTTTCGAATCTTTCGGACACTGTAGAATGCGGGGCTCCCCGGGCGCGGGCCCGGCCAATCAGAGTGCCGTCTGCCTCCCCTGGCCAATGGCAGGCTCCACATTGTTGTCCAATTCAGTCTAATGGAGCCCTAAGGAGCAACAATAGAGCGGGAGAGCCGATCATTGAGAGTCTGGCAGCGCCGGGCAACTGGGGCCCGGCTGTGCGCAGCGTCTGGAGCGCTCCGCGAGGGGACGCAGCGCGGTGAGGGCCACGGGTTCCAGCCAGCCGGTCCCTAAACAGTGCCCCGGTTCAGACTTCCTACTGAAGGGTTGGACTGCGCAGCATTCTGAGGGGTCCGGAAGTTTGGACATGGTGACTGAAGGAGGGTGACGTGGTCAGATAAGGGGCCAGGGGGCAAGGGGAAGAGACCAAGAGCGCCAGCGTCGCGAACGGAGCTGGGAGGCGCGTGCTGCGCCAGCGGAGAAGGAGGATCCCCGAGCCCAAGGCAGGTAGTTGAGGGCCGCAGGGAGGGCAGGGGAGGCGGCCCGGCCTTCGGCTCTTGTTGACGAGGCCAGGGCCACGCTGGCCTTAGGGACTGGGCGGCCCGAGGGTCCTGAAAGGAGAGGCAGCGCGCGTAGGGAAGGGATCTAGAATTCTCGGGCGGTGACACCAGGATTCGGTCCCGGGCTCTCGCGGAGACCGGGGGACCCAGGAGAAGCCGCAGCGGAAGCTCAGAGCTGGGCCTGCTTTGGCCTTCTGGGGCCGCGGCGCAGGTGGGACTCCTGCGTTCGCCCAGGGCCAGTTCCAGAGGCCATTCGCCTCCCTCGGTGCTGCCTGCTGGGCCATCCAAGTCGCTGGCACCCAACTCTGAGACCAGAGCGCGGGAATCTGCGCCCGAGCGGGGTCTCACGGGGCCCCAGGATGGGGGAGGGCGTGTCTGACGACTCGGTGCCTAAACAGCGAGCGGAGAAGGCAGTGTTAGGTAGTCAGCGAGAAGGATCTCCCTCCTGCAACACCTAACTTTTGCAAGATACTGTTTCCTCCCCGACTACTACTCCAGACTACAAGGCTAAATTTTGCCACGGATTTTACTCTATCCCCACCCCTAGCCTAAGCCTGTGGGTTTTTTCTCACGCGCAGTCCTCCGCGTGGACCCTGGGACCCAGACACTTATATCAGCTGTTTTTTCTGTTTTCCTCCTCGAGGTAGCTAATCTTTGGGCTGCGTTTGCCTATCCAAAGCAAGTTTCTTCAGCTGAATTTTCTCTTTAACACTCCTCCCCAGGCCTCCTAAACTTAGCTCCACACCCACTTTCTCTCCCACTCTCTGGAGGCCCTCACCATGGAACTTGCAGCCCCCACATTTCCACAGGCCCCTGGGCCTCTTGGCCTAACTTTGCCCCTAACTTTCCTAGCCCTCACTCCACTTAGTAGAGCTATTCGTTCTGTTCCTGATATTTCTCTCGAACTCTCCTGCTCCCATCAGCCAAAACCAACCAAACAAACCCCCCTCCAGCCCAACCAATTTCTCTCTCCTCTTCACCCTTCCACGTAACTGGACATTTCGCCTCGGGTTTTCCTGTTTTGCTCGTGGCATAGTCTACTGGGTCAAATTTTTCTCTCTAATCCGACTCCCATCAAACAAATATTTCTCTTTACTCGTCTCACCCCAATTAAACTAAACTTTAGGGGATAATCTTTTATTTTTCAAACCCTCGTTACATCCATCTGAACCAGTGACTTTCAAACTTTAAGAAATTTCTTTTCCCCCAGCGGAACCACTGATTCAAACGAAATCTTACACCCAACGCGTAAATCAGAAATAAGAAGAGCTCTGGTGGGAGTAGGGTGGAGGAACTCGGCCTTACAAGGGGGCTCCGAAGGCACCTCCTCCCAGCAATTTGGCAACCAGTAGCCAAACTTCTGCGGCGGAAATTTCCGTCTGTCAGCCTGGGTTCCTCGAGTGTGCTTGCTTTAGTTTCGCTCACCGTGCACTCCTCACCGCCTGTGTCTTCCCCACCCCCGCCCCCACGGTCTTCCACGCCAGGTCCTGACATGGAGCTGCGCTCGGAGCTGCCCAGCGTGCCCAGCGCGGCGACGGCGGCGGCGACAGCGACGGGGCCGCCCGTGGCGTCTGTGGCATCCGTGGCAGCTGCGGCCGCGGCGGCCGCTTCGCTACCCGTGAGCGTGGCGGGCGGCTTGTTACGGGCGCCGCCACTGTTGTTGCGAGCGGCGGAGAAGTACCCGCGGACCCCCAAGTGCGCGCGCTGCCGCAACCACGGCGTTGTGTCGGCGCTCAAGGGCCACAAACGCTACTGCCGCTGGAAGGACTGCCTGTGCGCCAAGTGCACGCTCATCGCCGAGCGCCAGCGCGTCATGGCGGCGCAGGTGGCGCTGCGCAGGCAACAGGCGCAGGAAGAGAACGAGGCGCGCGAGCTCCAGCTGCTGTACGGCACTGCCGAGGGGCTGGCCCTGGCCGCCGCCAACGGCATCATCCCGCCGCGACCCGCCTACGAGGTCTTCGGCTCTGTGTGCGCCGCCGACGGGGGGCCGGGAGCGGCGGCGCCAGCGGTGACCGGCGGCGGCGCAGCAGGCGCCGGGAGCTCAGGTGAGAGCACTGCCGGGCCGGGAGGAGAGGGGAGCAGGGACGCGCGCTCGGCCCAGGGACTTGGCTCAGTACTGAAAAAGTAGAATTCCCTTCTCCAAACGCCTCGACTGCTGGAGTTCAGCACACACCCAGCCCCTAATTTAGGTCATAGACACATGAACTCTCCTTTCCCCACTTTCTGAAGCATTTGCAATTGACTCCTTTCTTTCACCGCAAGGCCCAAATGTGAACGCTTTGATCTTATCTCCTCTACTAAAAGCAGGCAGGTCCCGGCGTCCCTGCTCACTTGCCTCGGTCTTCTCCCCAGCGCGAAACCTGCGCGTCTTCTTTTTCTTGGTTCTGTGCTTCTCCACATGCTGCGGTTCCCTCCGCTCCGTCACAACTCGTTGCAGAAATCCGACCCTCTTCAAGTCCCCTCCTCTGTCCCCGCATCGCTTTCTCTGGGTATTAAAGACATCTCGTTCCTTTAACCCGTGTAATTCCTTTTCTCAAGTTGCTAATGCTCCCCGGACAACCGCAGGCTGCGCCCTGCTCCTTTCTAGCTCCCCCCCCCATTTGTCCTGGGTTTCTCAGAATACGAGTTCTCTTTCACTTCCCTTGATCCTCTTTCCTCTTTACCTTCTACTCCCTGCCCGGCCCCACCCTCTTCAAAACGCCCTTGGTTTTTTCTGCGGAGGTAGGAAATTAGGCCAGGGTTCTTCCAGGGCCCGCTCAGCTCTCAGCTTTGGGAGGAAAGAACTTCTTAGGTCTTAAATTGGAAAGGGGACTTAGAAATAAGGGCTCTAGTTTTGCCTGTAAAGAGGCTTGGATCTTGTAGATACCCAAGGCGCCTTCCTTTACAAGCTATGCCGCCCAGGGCCAGAGTGCACCTAGGCCTGGGCTGGCTCTTGGAATCGCAAAGGTGGAATTGGGTCTTCTATACAGTGTGTGTTGTAGGTGTAGTTATGTTGGCTCCAGCTTGAACCCCAGGCCAGGCCACTTCTCCAGGGCAGGGCAGGGCTAGGAAGGAAGATAAGGGTGGAGGTGTTGGGGCGCAGATGTAGGAAGAGGGGCACTGGACATTGAGTTTATGGGCACAGGTGGTTAGGGTTCTTAGTACAGAAAGAGAGCGCTCCCTGTAGGCAGGGAAAGACAGACGGGGCTGTAGGGGCTCAGAGAGGAAGGAAAGGTGGAGCAAAACGAAAGGGCACTGGAGCCCACTGAATGAAAGTCGTGGGGCTCAGAGGGAAAGGAAGCTGGGATGCAAAGAGCTGGGGTGCTGTAGGTGCGGTCGCCTTCCGGCTCTTAACTGCTCCTCACATCCCTTTTTCTCCCCTCCCAGAGGCCAAGTTACAGAAGTTTGACCTGTTCCCCAAGGCACTGCTTCAGGCAGGCCGCCCGGGCAGCCCACCGCCGCCACCCGGGAAGCCCTTATCACCAGATGGCGCAGACTCCGGTCCCGGGACGTCGTCTCCGGAGGTGCGGCCGGGCTCGGGCTCCGAGAACGGCGACGGCGAGTCCTTTTCGGGGTCCCCTCTGGCCCGGGCCTCCAAGGAGGCAGGTGGCAGCTGCCCGGGCAGCGCTGGCCCCGGAGGCGGCGGCGAGGAGGACAGCCCGGGCTCCGCCAGCCCTCTGGGCTCGGAATCCGGTTCGGAGGCCGACAAAGAAGAGGCAGAGGCTGCGCCCGCGTCAGGGCTGGGCGGCGGAGGGCCGGGTCCGCGGCAGCGGACGCCGCTGGACATCTTGACGCGCGTCTTTCCGGGCCACCGGCGAGGCGTCCTGGAGCTGGTGTTGCAGGGCTGCGGTGGCGACGTAGTGCAGGCCATCGAGCAAGTGCTGAACCACCACCGCGGGGGCCTGGCGGCCGGCCTCGGCCCCGCTGCGCCCCCTGATAAGGCCGCGGTGGGTGCAGTAGCAGCTGTGGAGGACGGGTGGCCAGGCCGCGTCGACGCCGCCGCCGCCGCGGGGGGACCCGGGCTGCCCGCGCCGCTGCAGGCTGGCCCCGCTGCACCCCCGCACCACAGACCTTTGCTGGCCGGTGCCATGGCTCCCGGGGCGCTGGGCTCGCTGAGCAGCCGCTCAGCCTTCTCGCCTCTGCAGCCCAACGCCAGTCACTTCGGCGCCGACGCAGGTGCCTATCCGCTGGGCGCGCCTCTCGGCCTCAGCCCCCTGCGCCTGGCCTACTCCGCGGCGGCGGCGCACAGCCGCGGCCTGGCCTTCATGGCTCCCTACTCCACCGCCGGCCTGGTGCCCACACTTGGCTTCCGCCCTCCCATGGACTACGCCTTCAGCGATCTCATGCGCGACCGCTCGGCTGCCGCCGCTGCTGTGCACAAGGAGCCGACCTACGGCGGCGGCCTGTACGGCCCTATGGTCAATGGCGCCCCTGAAAAGCAGTAGGGCAAGGGCCCCGGCAGCTGGGCGGCCCCCAAACAGAGACCCAAGCCTTGTCCCCGCGGGCCGCCGACCCCTCTTCGCCGGGTGTGCTCTCTGCGCCCTGGTTGGGGCCCTCTTGCTCCAAGGTGGTTTTCAGTTTTGTTTTGAAGGGTTGGTGGGGAGAGGTGAGCAAAGGGGAGCAGCTACAGAGGCAGATGTTCTCGGAGGAGGTGCGCGGCCCGGATCCTCATCCCCCGACCCACTCCCCACGGCTTCCCAGCTCTTCCAAAGGCAACAAATCTGAATTCAGAGGCTGCGGCCACCGCGCACGCTCCTGCCTCATGTAGCTACACCCATCCTGCCTGCCAGCCCGCGCGCTCAAATGGATGGCCGGATAGTCCGAGAGTCTGTCTGCTGTGTCTCCCCCTCCATTTAAAGGATTTTAAATATGCGCTCTAACAAATATAAATTTAGGATGTATAAATCTCTTGGCACTGAGTCGAGTCTTTGGGACACATATATATCAATTGTAAAAAAAAAAAAAAGGAAACGTTCTAAGGTGCACTTTCCTCGTTTCGGTATTTGTCGCTCTCTTTGTTGCTTATGCCGATAAGCATGGGTTTCCTTGGTGCAGTGTGAGTTTTTATACATGTATAAATCTATATGTAATTATACATATATATACAAGCCAGTGTATAATGTTATAAAATGGAACTCTAAGTTATTAATTGTAATCTGTAGGTGATCTCGGTATTAACGTGAAAAATATTCAAACACAAGCAAAAATAATGGACAAAATGGGAAAAAATTAGACTATGCGCGAATTGTACTTATCAGGTTTTATAGATTATATTGTACACTCGGGACGAATCCCGCCCACCCGCCCCTTTGCCTGGGCTGGTCTCTCCCTAAGGAGCGGTCAAGATGCGCATTGACGCAGAAACAGAGCGACGTGTGACTGAGCCAGACCCGTCCACCCCAAGGCCCACCCCAGTCTCTCGGGACTCGCCAAACGCCCCGGCCAGAAGGCCGGTGGCGGGAAACGCTGCTGCAGAGAATGGCTCACTTTGTGCTTTTCTTTGCATAGACATGAGCTAGAAATAAATGTTATTTTCTAAGAAAACAACGCCGAATCCCGTCCGGCTCTTCGGGCGGCCGGATTGAAAAGGTCTTGATTTCCCGCTCGGGCTGCGGTGCCAGGGAAAACTTGACCGCAGTTCGGCTGGTGTTCCGACCCTCAGAGGTGCGGGGTGAGGAAACCTCCCTTGGCGCCTGGAAGGGCCCCGCGGAGCGGTGCGGCGCGGGGATGAGAACTCCGGGGGGAGCGGCGCCCGCTGCGCTTCGCGGACCTGGTGTCCCTCCCACTCCCGGCTTGGGCGCGCGGGCTGCGGCAGGGTCGCCTTGCCAGTGCCCTCGGTCCCTGGATCGTGAGATTTGTCCGGAATCCTGCGAGGCTGGCAGCTGGTTCCAGTTCTCCCCGGGGCTCAGATTTGGGCGCAGCCCGGGTCCCACACTGCGCGCCTCCCTTCTCAGGTTTGGCACCAAGGACGGCGGAGGTGGCAGCTTGGGAGGGAAGGTTGTGACCATTCTCCTACAGAGTTATTTTTGGGTGTTATTGGGAGTTATTTTGGGGTGGTGGGGTGCTACTCTGGCCTGAGGCAGTGTAATCCGAGAGTAGAGGTGAGGACGCGTCTTCCAGCGAGACCTCACTGCACCCCTTTTACTTTCCCTCTTTACGCGGAGCTGAGCAAATCAGCGGCTCCCGGGCAGACCCTCTACTCAGGCGATCGTCTTGCTCCCGACAGGGTGACTCCCCCTCTTCGGAAAACAGGGTGCCCCCTCCCCTACGCTGGCCCCGGCGACATCCCAAGGTAAACTTCTGGGGCCGGCTCGAGTTCCGCCAGGCGGTGAAACTTAATAGCAGGACAAGAAAACGGTTTAATAAAGAAGGGCTTTAATAGGGAACTAATTTGATTGAGTCGCCTAATTCCACTTTAATTGGAAAGGGGTTTGGCTGTTTGGTTATAAAGTGTGAGGGTGACGAGGAGATGGAAGTGGGGGAAGAGGAGCGAGAGAAGAAAGATGGGAGGAGAGAGAGAGAGAGAGAGAGAGAGAGAGAGAGAGAGAGAGAGAACAGAACAGAAGAGGGAGAGAGGAGAGGAGAAAGGAACGTGGGAAGAGTTACTCATAAGACGCGAGGGAGGCGAGAGAAAGCGCGGGGAGCATCTAGAAGTGTGAACTTTCTTGCCCTCCGCCGCTGCGCCCTCGCAAAGCCTCCAGCGCCCTCCTCCCACTCCAGGTTTCCGGAGGCCTCCATTCCTCTCTCAGCCAGCGCAGCTGCCCCCTTCCCAGCCTCTGCCCTCATCCCACCCAAGGTGAACGAACCTAAGACCTGTCTGTGTTTCTTGTTTTCCCTGGGTCTCCCGGAGCTCTTTGGTTCCTGCTGGTGCTCAAGCCGGACCCGAAGGGGGCGGCCTGTGAGCCTGTGTTACCCACTCTCAAGAACATCTGGAGCTTCGTACCTTTCAAGATTGTTATTTTAGTTCATCCTCACAGCAAACAGGGAAGAAACCAGTGAGTGGTTGTCGGCTCCATTTCACAGAGGAGGAAATAGAGGTCCAGAGTGGTTTAGAGACTTGTCCAGTTATTCTGGGGCCCTGGACTCTCTCCTCCCCACTGTCCAGCGGGCCTCCTCTTTTCTCATGAAGCGGTTTCTGCGAGCCGATAGTGGGGGCTCTGAGGAACCCCCTTCCCGTGTGCTCATGCAGTCAACAGCAGGGAAGCCGCTTGCCCCTAGAGCCCAGAGAGGCTGCGACCTCAGCTCCTTGCTGTGGACATCTTGGGTAGAGCTCAGAATGTTTCGAGTGATGGAAGTTCGAGGGGGTTAGAGTAGGGGGGTTCCCAGGTTCCTCTCCTCTTCGCCTGGCGTGTCTCCGTGGCCCAAGCCCTGCGATGGAAACCCAGGGGGCTTAGTCACAGCCTTGATTCCTGGTAAAGTTCTGCACCCACGCGCGTCCCTGACCCACTACCCACTGCGCAGTCAGGAAGACTGAGGCTCAGAGACCGACGGTGTCCTGCCCACAATTGCTCATCCAGGCTCGGAGGAGCCAGAATCAGAACCCAGGATGCCCAAGCCAGGTTGCTAGCTGGCAGTGGAGTGGCGGAGGGGGCGGGGTGGATGGGTGAGGAAGCGACTCTGGTTCTGGGAGCTTCAGCGAGGGTAGGAGGGGGCTAGGGCCTGTGATCCCCGCAGGGAGGAGCATGGGGTTACTCAGTTGCAGGCTGTGCTCGCGCACCCCTGATGCCAGTGGACATTAGCCGGAAAGTCACCTCTTTTCTGCGGGAAGGGGAAGGTGGGCTGGGGCTTCTGCTGTCCATATTTATTCCCTAACTCTCCCCTAAGTCTGCTGGACCTGACCCTGGCCCGGGCTTTGGGAGGTCTTGGGCCTAGCTCTCCTCGGGGAGCGTGGACTGCTGGGGAGACAGAGTAACCAAGTGATAGTTATTTTTAAATTCTTCTTCTTCTTCTTCTTCTTCTTCTTCTTCTTCTTCTTCTTCTTCTTCTTCTTCTTCTTCTTCTTCTTCTTCTTCTTCTTCTTCTTCT